GTCAGGGATGTTGTTTATAAAAGACAGGTACAGTCAGGGACGTTGTTAACTTTATAAAGCACAGGTACAGTCAGGTATGTTGTTTATAAAAGACAGGTACAGTCAGGTATGTTGTTTATAAAAGACAGGTACAGTCAGGGATGTTGTTTATAAAAGACAGGTACAGTCAGGGATGTTGTTTATAAAGCACAGGTACAGTCAGGGATGTTGTTTATAAAAGACAGGTACAGTCAGGGATGTTGTTTATAAAACACAGGTACAGTCGGGGATGTTGTTTATAAAGCACAGGTACAGTCAGGGATGTAGTATAAAGTGTATATTGCACAGGTACAGTCAGGGATGTTGTTTATAAAAGACAGGTACAGTCAGGGATGTTATTTATAAAAGCACGGGTACAGTCAGGGATTTTGTTTATAAAGCACAGGTACACTCAGGGATGTTTTTTTTTTCTCTCTTTTATTAAAAGTATATGCAATATACAACATAGTTGATATAAAGTGTAACATACATCACAATCAATGTTTTTTTTATGTTCATATCAGAGAAGTTATAATACTTCTATATAGAAGAAAAATATATAAATATATTATACGTATCATAGGTATATAACAAGCATTTTGTTTCTTTTATAACATTCACAAATTTATATGTTCAATTTTATGCAATTATTTTAAGAGCACGTATAAACATAGAAAGTATAATACATAGGAAGAAATAAATAAATATTGAATCCGGGTAGCAAAGGGAGTCCTATTCAACACCAGCACTGTCCATAATGAGGACCCCTAGCTACCACACATGAAGACTGGTTTCTTCATGTGTTGGATATGTCTACACCATAATTTTTTTTTTCATAAACAATTTGCTAAGTCATTGTACATGTTGTTTCTTATTTTACCAGTTTTTTTCACAACAGAATTTTGTAAAACAAGCCAATTTTTAGCATAAGATTTCAAATTTTCTTCTGACATTTTTTCATTATTGAATCGACACTTCATTTTATATTTATAGATTGTAAAACAAATAAATGATATAAGATTATTCAAAATACATGTTTTCTCTGATAAATCACCAAAAAATCCCAACATAATACGTTTCCATGAAACGTTAAATCTTAAAAATATACTAATTTTCCTCCACAAATAGGTTGTAATTATACAAGAAAATAAAAGATGTTCACTATCTTCTGATACATTGCATAACTCACACAATGGTGATACATCCTTATTCCATTTACTTACACTTATATTAGTATTTAACAGACAATTAATCAGTTTATAATTGAATTCTGCAATCTTTTTGTCATACATTTTACAAATTTTTGAAATGTATATATTCTTCCATAATGATTTATCTTCTATGTTGAAATACTTATTCTCATATATTGAATTCTGAAATTTGGATTAAACTAAGACCGAATAATAAAAATCACTTTTTAAAGATTTGATCGATTTAAAACAATTATTTCTAAACAAAAACGAGTCATTATTATGAATGTTAATATAATTGGCATAAGAACAATCAAGCCTTGATTTAAAAGGTCTTAATGTCTTTTTTAGAATAATATATTCACAGTAAATATTGTTTTTACATTTTAATTTATCCCAAAAGTAATCTATTGCATGTATTTCACCGTTTTCATCAAAAAGATCTTTTACATATAATATACCACTCTTGATACATTGTTCAAAACATAGTGTTTTAGAATCATATCGGAATAAATTATTATGCCAGATAAATTGGGATAAAAATTCTTCCTTCAGAATTCTGTTGTTTTGTTTGTTTGTTTTTTTTTTTTTTACACTTATTAAACATTGAAAATACTTCCACATAAAATTGTGGGAAATTAGTCATTTCCCAGAATTTTGTATCATTTAAATTGCAACTCGTTGTTTTAATGATATCATTTATAGATAAATTACTATTTTCCAATAGACTATTTAAAGTAAAGTGTGTGATTGTATCTTTATCCAATATTCTTCTTACCCACGAAGCTTTCACAGCAGAAAATTTACTTTCAATATCAACGATTCATATTCCTCCTTCTTCAATTTTACCAATTAATGTATTTCGTTTAATTCTCTCTCTTTTTTTCCACAGAAAGTTAAAAATGATTTTTGAAACTCTTTTAAAGAATTCTTTATCTGGATTAGGTAAAATAAACGCATTATAAACAAGCTTTGATACCGCTAAAGTATTTATTATTGTACATTTTCCAAATATTGTTAAGTTGCGTTTTCGCCAAACACTTAAGATTTTTTCAAGTTTTTCAAGTTTACTTAGCCAGTTTTTTTCATAACACACGTCTTTATTAGGACCTAAATATATTCCAAGAGATTTAACACTTTCTGTTGCAATTTTTACACCGTATAGGTCGTTATTATTGCAATACTCATCAATTAAGGAACCAGTTAAGATGCATTCAGTTTTAGATAAATTAAGTTTCGGACCAGCAACTTCACTAAAATGGTGAATAATATTAAGAGTGGTTGCCAATGAATTGGTGTCTTTTAATGCATTTGTGCAGTCATCAGCATGTTGGACTATCTTAATATTTTTTTAGGCATTCTCATTAAATGATAGGCCATGTATATTTTCATTATTTCTAATTTGGATAGCAAGTATTTCTAATACGAAAATAAAGAGAAGCGCAGATACCGGACATCCTTGACGTATTCCCCTTTTCATTGAGCAAGATTTTGAAATCCAGCCGTTATTTTTAATTTTGAACGTAGGATTGATATAAAGAGTTTTTATCATATCAATGAAGTTTTCTCCAAAGTTGAATTTGCGTAATGTTTTAAACATGAAGTTATACTCAACAGAGTCAAATGCTTTTTCGAAATCTAAGAATAACAATATGCCATCAAGATCGTGATTCATACAGTGCTCGTATATATCAAGTATCAGTCTCGCATTTTCTCCAATATATCTTCCTTTAATATATGCACTTTGTTCTTTTCCTATCATTTTTTTTAGCAATAGGCTGTAATCGTAAAGCTAAAATTTGTGCGAAAATTTTATAATCCACATTTGTGAGACTTATTGGTCTGTAACTTTTTAATTTATCTTTTTCACCTTTCTTGTAAATAAGGGAGAGTATTGCGTCTCGTTGTGAGAATGGTAGAATTCCGATCTCAATACTTTTGATTAAACATGAGAAATATATATCTTTAATATCATTCCAAAATATTTTATAAAATTCTGCTGGAAGTCCATCAGAACCAGGAGATTTATTATTTTTCATATGATGAATGGCTTCCTTACACTCAGACATGGTCGGTAATTTATCGCAATTATTTCTATCATTTTCATTCACTTTAGGACATTCAATATTTTCAAGGTATTTTTCAATATCTTGATCACAGATTTTTTTTACTCTTATATAATGCATTATAAAAATCGACTAAAGCTTTTATAATATCTCCATTTTCCATAAAGACAATATCGTCGTCATTAGTAACTTTATTAATCGTATTGTCGCCCTGTTGCTTTTTCTCTAAATTTAAGAAATATGCAGTACTTTTTTCGCCCTTTTCCATCCAGATAGCTCTTGATCTTATGTAAGCCCCTTTACATTTTTGTGCATATAATTCATCAATTTCATTTTCAAGCTGTCTTTTATATCTCATATTTATATGCGAGTAAGGTTTATTTTCCAATATTTTAATTTGATTCTCAATGAAATCAATTCGCTTTCTTTTGGATACAGCATTTTCTTTAGAATAGGATATTGTGAAATTTTTCATTGATTTTTTCAAGCATTCCCATTTAGAAACCGGATCAGGATCATGAATTCTAGATATTTCTTGTTTAATAAAGTTTCTCATTTCATTGCAAAATTTTTCTTTGTTGAGAAGTGATGTATTCATTTTCCAATAACCACTCCCTCTGATATTTTCTGCGGTACAAAAATCAAAGTATAAACCTAAATGGTCACTAAATCTTGTCCCGTCATAATTAGGAGCTTTTCTTAATAAAATTATAGCAGAAACTTTCTGACATAAATACGTAGTCAATTCTAAATTTTGGATTATTTTCCCCATCACACCACGTGTACCCCTGTTCGTTATTTTTATCACTAAAGGACCAACAGTCGATCAAATTTAATGATTTCACAAAGTTTCTAAGAGCCTTTACATTTCTATTATTTTCAATGATATCTATCTGACAGTTAAAATCTCCACAAACTATTAAGTTATCTAAGCTTTTAGCATATTTATTTACCCATTTCAACATTTTATTTAGAAATATAATTTTGTCATTTTCTTTATTTGGCACATAAAAATTGGCCAAACTTAAAATTTGTTCAGATAATTTAACATTTACCAATAATTTTCTACCGTCAATTGAAGAATGTTTATCTAGTATTTCAATATCAAGATTTTCTTTAAACAAAATAGATACACCTCTACTATATACTGAATCAGAAAAACTATGAATTTTATACCCATACCAACGTGAATTATAAATTACTTCATTTGCTTCAATAAAATGCGTTTCTTGCAAGAAAATTATATCAAATTTTGCATCCTTAATCCATTCAAACAACAAAATTCTTTTACCATAAGTATTTAAACCACGAGCATTTATAGAATAGAATGTTAGTGAGTTTGTACTCATTTACATAAAGCTATATTTGCTAAATTACCCCTGGTCCTTTACATTTCTCTTCCTGTTTGAGTTTCTCCTGGCCTCCCGAATGAAGCCGTCCAGATTTGTTTGATTTTCGTCTGGGTTCTTGTTTTTCGGAAGTGAGCTACTTCTGAGTCTTTTTGTAAGTTTTGATGTTATCTTACCCAAAATTTGTCCTAGCCTGTTTTCACCCGGCCATTTTTCCGGTTTTGTATGGAGGGTAGCATCTGGATATAGCCCGGTTCCCCAGAATATATCGTTAGTTGCTTCGGCGAATAGAGTTTACGCATCTGAATTTTCCAGTTTCTCGCGAAGTTCCGGTACCTGAGTACGGTAGCTTTAGCATGTATGATCTCCTCCATTACCGTTTCTTTTTGATCTTGCCTTTTCTGGGATCTTCGCTTTATCTCCTATTCTCTTAGCCTCAAGAGCTGTGGGAGCAATGCGGATATTTTCGGTAGCGTTGAAGTCTCCAGATCGAATAGCTTTCGTAAGCTGGTAGGCGTGCTCAGCCGATTTGTGGGTTTCCCCGAAGACCTTAACATCACAGGGAAAGAAGTTGGATAGGGGGTTTTCTTTTCCTTGAAACACCACTAATCCATCAGCAGGTTCGCTATAGTGCTCACAATCTTTTGATCCCGGCTTATGTCCGGTTTGTTAATTTGCATACACGACATGCGATTTCTTTTGTACAGTCTTTGGCCCTGTGTCCTGTGTCCCAACAATTGTAGCATTGCACCTGAGATTCACCCTTTTCTTGTCCATAACGATACAGTCTACACTTGATATCTGCACATTTTACAAATCTGGGCAAGGATTTTCCTGGTTCCAGAGGCTTAATGTAAAGAAACCGGTTGCCATTAAGCACGCTTGTCATGCGGTGTGTCGTAGGATGTCTGATTTTTTCGTACTTAATGTCACTTTTCAATTCTACTTGGAAACTGTCTAGCATTTCCAGAATAGCGCTGTCATCAACAGATAATGGCAAGCCGCTGATTGTGACCTTAAGAATTGGATCATTCGGGCTATTTGCCCCTGTAGTATAGGGATTTGAGTCATATACCTGTATAGAAAGGTTACGAAGCTCGAATCCTTCAATTGTCAATTTTGTCCTACTCTCTATACACTTTAGATACACACGCCAAAGGTCTCTATCACGCTGAATACAGTGGATGTTATCTCCGATCTTATGATGAATCGCCTCATATAGACCAAAATCAGTAACTCTGATCAGACTGTAGATCCTTGTTCTTCAGATAAATTGGTTTGAGCATTATGTTTGAAACGTCTGAAGTCATGATTGTTGACAAAAGGCTTACCTGAGAAGTTCTCACTCGTGAACTCCGCGACACGGTAAACAATTGTATACACACATACAGTATGCAGAATTTCACAATCACATCGGAAAATCTCATAGAAATTGGCTGAATTTGATTATCAACACCTCTTATGCTGTTTAGTACACAAAATAAGGTTTTAAAATCCCACAAATAGCTATATAGAATTGTCAAAAACCGGAGCAGGTAAAAAGAGCGTCCATCTACCTGACCGTCACGTGACTTTTTTCTACAGTATATTGCACAGGTACAGTCAGGGATGTTGTTTATAAAAGACAGGTACAGTCAGGGATGTTGTTAACTTTATAAAGCACAGGTACAGTCAGGTATGTTGTTTATAAAAGACAGGTACAGTCAGGTATGTTGTTTATAAAAGACAGGTACAGTCAGGGATGTTGTTTATAAAAGACAGGTACAGTCAGGTATGTTGTTTATAAAAGACAGGTACAGTCAGGGATGTTGTTTATAAAGCACAGGTACAGTCAGGGATGTTGTTTATAAAGCACAGGTACAGTCAGGGATGTTGTTTATAATACACAAGTACAGTCAGTGATGTAGAATAAAGTGTGTACAAGTCAATTTCTGAATTATCAGCTCTAAAAATTATTTGATTTTCAAGAAATGGCAATCTTTTTTTTTTAACTAATAATATAATAATATTAAACAAAATATTCAGTAAATTCATTTTTTTTTTCAAATAAATATTTATTTTCATTGAATTAATTTTTATCCTTTCTGTTAATAACACATAGGTTAAAATGGGTAAACTCAAGTAAATAATAACAACCAGAAATTAGACTATAATTATTATCAAAACATGTTTCACACCTATTGTTCTATACCTAATTATCAAATCCGCCTGACTTCGGCCTCACCGTGTGCTCCCGTTTTGCACACGTTTGATAATTAGGTATAGAGCAATAAATATGAAATGTGTTTTAATAACAATTATAGTCTGATTTCTGGTCCAGATTTAAAGGTATTTTATTTGCATATTTATTCTAAAAAGGAAGAATAACTTGAATATATATGAATATTTATTAGAAAATTTAATTATCGAATATTTTAATTTCTATTCAGTATCAATTATTATATTTAGAAAAATGAATGTCATTTCTTGAAAAAGAAATAATTTTAAAACTGATGCATGCAACTCGGTCAATATATATATAGTATTATGGAGAAAACTATGGGCGGTGGAAAGGGTAAAAAAGACGTTTATGCAAAACTGACAACTAATTTTATAAACATAATGAAATACAAAACAGACAACCTTAAAAACAAAATCAACAGACTCGTTTGCAAAATCAACAGACTCCGATGCGAAACCAACAATCACCAATGCAAAACCAACGATTATTCACTGAATTGTCGCTAGATGGCGCGCAAGAAAACATATTTTACCTGAATTAACGCTAGATGTCGCGCAAGTTTTTCTACGTCATCATTATTTTTGTACTATCATAGGAATGTAAATGGATCAGGGCCACAATTATAGGAGTGAAGGTCAAAAGCCTGAAAAGTAGCACATAAAGGAAATTTGCATGCCTCCCTTTCAATGATAAAAATAAAAACATGCTCACGTTTGTGAAACTTTCTGGGTATAGAATAAAAGTTTAATGTCAAAAGTTTACAATGATATGCATCAAGGTGCACTTCAAGCATAAATTAAGCACAGAAATATGTACGGTATTGAAATGAGAGGTCATTTGGTTTGTTTACATATTTTAAGCCAAGCGAGAGCTATTCGGAGGTCAAGACGTCAGAAGTTTATTAATAACCAGGGATTTCCACATTGAACACCCCCATTTTTATGTGAATATTTATCTGACACTCTGTCATGTGTTAAAAAATATTTTGGAAATGAATCTTTTTTTAAAAAGTTACAAAGAAAACAAAACACATGTTTATACTATATAAGTCTATATATATGTACATGTAATTGTAGTCCGGGTCTAAATCCCGCGAAATTGTCTATCAACATCCATTTTGCAAACCTCGGATAATAGCATCATGTCGGACTTTTAAAATTCAAACATATTAGAGGCAGCAAGACAAACGACTATTACAAGAAACCAGTAGCAGATATTGTTTTTTTTCCCCAAGAGAAAATTTTTGAGAGAAAAAAAAACCCCTTACACTCTTAAAAAAAGTTCATATAAAATTATTTTATTGTGTTCATGCATTACTATGGTGGCATATTTCTGCCCCTTGTGTGCAAGTTATTTTTCTATCAAATATGTCGACATGCAAGATAAATATGTTGACATGCAAGATAGTTATGTCAACATGCAACATAAATATGTTGACATGCAAGAAAATTGCAATCAAATAAATATTATAAAAAATCTCAAATATCGCCCACATGTGACATCCAACATGCTAGATACTTCTTATTTATGTTAACGTGCAAGATAAATATGTTGACATGCAACTTATTTATGTCGACATGCAACTTATTTATGTCGACATGCAACTTATTTATGTCGACATGCAACTTATTTATGTTGCATGCAGCTTAGTTATGTTGACATGCAACTTAGTTATGTTGACATGCAAGATAAATATGTTCACATGCAACTTAGTTATGTTGACATGCAAGATAAATATGTTCACATGCAACTTATAAGTTGCATGTCAACATATTTATCTCGCATGTCAACATAACCAAGTTGCATGTCGACATAAATAAGTTGCATGTTAACATATCTAAGTTGCATGTCGACATAAATAAGTTGCATGTCAACATAAATAAGTTGCATGTTAACATATCTAAGTTACCTGTCAACATATTTATCTTGCATGTTAACATAAATAAGTAGCATTTAGTATGTTGGATGTCACATGTGGGCAATATTTGAGATTTTTGAAGATTGTTTTATAATTTTTATTTCATTGCAATTTTCTTGCATGTCAACATATTTATGTTGCATGTTGTCGTAGCTATGTTGCATGTCAACATATCTATCTTGCATGTCGACACATTTGATGGAAAAATAACTTGCACACAAAGGGCAGAAATATGCCACCATACATTACACAATTTGTTGATACATGAAAATTCACTTGGCAAGTTGTACTTTTATCATTTTTGCTTTTCTTTGTACGACTTATAGTGAAGTCTATCAAATTTATTTTAGAATAAGTTAACTTAGGAAGCAATCTGATTAAAATCAGATCCTTTGATCCGCTCTCATTAATCGCTACTTGTTTAGCGATCTATGTGCGCGGATCAAAGGATCTGCGCACGTGAAAAAAGTATATGGGCTGGATTGTTTTTATTGGGGTGGACCCCCCCCCCCCCCGCCGAAAAATAGGATCTGCGCCTGTACATATATGAATTATATAGGACAGAAAAGATAAATGGTCTAAGGAACAGGATAATCAAGGTTGGTATACTTTTTGCGCAAGGGAGATGATGATATATATATATTTTTTTTTGGGGGGGGGGGGTATCGACATATCATTATCAATAACTCATGAAGTTTCAGTCAAAGTCTCATAAGATTTTGGTAATTTGTTGATTAAACATAAATTAAAATGTTTGATGATAAATCTGGAAAACATATTCGAAAGGATAGTTTTAATTTTATTCAAAATTAGTTTTATTATGCATTTCTTTTTCCTCTCAGTATAGATGAAACCGTAAAAGAAATTCAGGGGCGGATCCAGCAATTAGTTTTCGAAAGGTCGATGCCCCAGCACTCATGCATAGAATCACAACAGGACCACTTGAAGTCCGTAACTACATATATTTATAAGAGAGGGGGCTCCAAAAACAGTTGACAAGCAAAAACCAAAAAAAAAAAAAACCTTTGCACCACACTCTAAAGTCCTTCTTTGGGGGTAGAGGGGGCTTTCTGTAAATTTTCTCTTCGCACTGCATTATATACTTTCACGTATTGCTTGAATCTGCGTATTTTCCGGCAATAAAAACTGTGGAGGGAGCTTCCAAATCAAAATATTAATTAAAACTACAGCAAAAGATTACTCTCAGAATAAATAAATCCCCTCTATCAGAATTTTTTTTGCATGTTACTTGTGAGTGGTCGGAACTCTTAGCCGGAGTTGGGAAGGTACACGGAGGAAGGTACGCGAAAATCTACAGATATACAGAGCAGAGCGGACAAAGATTTTCCATTTTTTCAAAATATTAGACTTATTCTGTATTTATACAGAAATTTTTCTCTCTATGTACAAAAATAAAAGGGGGTTCCAACCACCGGAACCCCCCCCTCTAGATCCTTCAATGAAATTTACCCTATAAGGCTACAAGGATGAGACTTAATTGTACTCCTGTACAAGATGTGGTGGCATCTTTGCTATGGTATGCGCAGTAGACCTTGTCCCATGTGCATTTTGCCTAATTTCTCCGAGTCCGAAAACAGTATCGCCCAAACCTGGAGTAATCGCTGTCCTACATTCCTT